AGGGATTCAAAAGGATTAACTGTAGCACAGCCCTTTTTTGTTTCCGCACATATCGCTGAATATACTGCAGTGGCTTAACTAGAATGACGTTAATTGTGGCTCTCTATTAAGATAGCATAATGTGCAGATATAGTCTACAGTTTTCGGTGGATATTTGTTTCACGTTTGCCATTTGCCTTCTTGCACTTAAGAGTATACTTTTAAGAATATCGAGAATCGATGGACAGTCTCAAAATATTGGATTTCTAGTTACCTTTACTCGACGCGAAAAACAGAATAATATATCCTTTCACTGAAGGCGTGAAAGAAAAAATATGAGTCAGGACAAACTTCTTTTTCATCAGCCAAACATTACAACTCTAGTTACTCTCAGTGATTGCTCGTTCACCATCGCGGCGTTCAAACTTTGGAACAGTTAACGCGCAAATATTAGCTGTTATGAACTATCTACTTAAGGTGGCTCAATGAAGTTTTAGCCTGATTACGATGCGTACGTCGGCGTTGTGTTTTCATGGAAAATCTTTGAAGATCTTCGCTAGAAGAAGACTATAAGTATATATGCTGTCGAAACGTCGTGATTCACATCCGAAGTGACAACATCGTGAGACAAACGATTGTATTCTCTTTTGAAAGTGTTATTTACCGCGATGAAAAACCGCAACCTATTTTACGAGATCACTAACTGTTACCAGAATTTAGTAAACAAAGGTTGAACTAGAGAAATATGTTTTTATTCGTCTTGTCACGAGCGTAGGACTGTTGTTAATATTCACATAGAGGTTTCTGTGTTTGAGCTTAAGCGCTGCAAAGGAAGGTGCTCACCAGCGGAAATTTGGCTTTGATTTTGATTTTCTCAAATACGCTTCGATGAAATATTCCACAGTTTTTACAATTTTTGAAATTTGTCCTGCCGATCTTTTGTTTACTTAGAAAAAAATAGGGGTTATAAAGGTATAGTTTCTTCGCTTCTTGCATATTTTTTCCTCCTCTAACTTAGCATGGGTCTCATGAACTTCTCATTAATTAGCGGTAGATAGAGCACAAATATGTTAAACGCTCGATTAAATGTTCGGAAATTTCTACAGAAGGAAACACGATGAATTCCACTCAAAATATTTTACGTCTTTCTCTCAAATCATTATGTCATTAAATTGGAATTCGCTAAGATCGATTTTTGAGCATACGCAAACGTTCCAATCTGTAGCCCTTCCGCATTCTTTCGCCCGGTGTTTTCTTTTCTGTCGACCCCTTTTTCAGGTGAAGAAGACTCATGAATTTATTATGGGAATGTTGCTGATAAACCCTAGAGTTCATTACTAGAAACTGCATTGTCTTATACACCTTTTGAAATAACAATCGTGCGATCATATCGAGCTGCCAGTTTTGTTGACATTCCCAAAGCCCGCGCTATGTTCGCATCCATATCTCGCGCGGTCAAAACCCTACGGAGCCTCCTTACAGAGGGATCTAGCCGCCTCTTGCGTACAGCCCTAACTTTTGTATACAATAATTATTTTTATTGATGCAATGATTAACACAAGTACTTAGAACCTTACAGACAAACGGAAGTTTAGGCCCGTGTTCAAGGCAACAAGGTGACAGATTTACCACTTTTAATACCCTTAAAGCCTATACCATTTTATTGGAATTTTATATTTAATCGACATTTTATTTACAAACATAACCGATATACAAACAAATTTTTTATACAAACTTGCTTTAAACCACTGATAGTTCCTTTTAATGGTATTATTGATATTATCCTTTGTAAAAATCGTGTAATTCAAGTTTTTAGTCGCAAGTTATCAATAAACTGCATATCACTTCTCTATCTATCGATTACAATTAACTTATCAATTTGTATTTCTTATTTCTTAAATTTTATTAAACGTTGTTAACCTTGATTATATCTAATTATTAAACAACTACTCACTGGTGGTTATTTACCGAGCCGCAAAGCGGCGAGAGAATAGAGTAGTATTGCTTTCGGTTTTTATATTTTCTGCTGAAGTTTGTCGCATTGTCGTAAATATTTTTACAAACGCTCTGTATATGACAATTCCAGTTTAAGTTTTGATCAATATGTACCCACGCAAAGCGATTTCGTGGAGGGAACCTGCATCACTGGATGGTTATGTATCATGAAATATGGTATTTCAGAGATAGTTGGTAGCCCCTGCCTCGATGCAAGTAACATGAATTCAATTTTTGTTAAGTTAAGGGTGAGTTTATTAGCAGCTAGCCATAGGTGGATCCTATTGAAATCGTCAATCATGAATACGCTTTAAGTCTCCATTTGCATGGTATAAACTAGTGTCGTCAGCATACGGACTAGGTTTTGAAAAAAGTAAGCACTCTGATGCACTTGATGCATAATCGAAATAGTAAAGGTCCTAGACTTAATAGTGCCCTGAGGAGCACCACATTTCACTAATTTAGGACTGAACATTAAACAGTTAGTTTTGCAAATTTGGGTACGATTGTTTAAATACGAAGCTAAGCAGTCGTGATAGGGACCGCGTAAACCATAGTAATGTAATTTCGCCAACAATATATCATAGGTAACGGTGTCAAAAGCTTTTTTCAAGTCTAAGAAAACAGCGACATTGACGTGACCACGATCAATGTTCATTGCCCAACTGTCCGTAGCCTCAAGCAAAGCGGTTACAGTAAATGTAAAGAACGAAAACCAGATTGGTAACGGGAAAGAAGATTATTTTTGGTTAGATATTGATAGAGTTGATCATAATGATCCTAGCCTTCGAATACTTTCGCTACGGTGGTAAAAAAGTAAAGCCTTTATACGGGCCTAAGTGGCCCATAGGGCCGGCGCTTAACTCCAGTTTCCTTAGCATGAAGCGGCTAGGAGTATTGCTACTCACCCCTGGATGGGATGCTAGTCCATCGCAGGGTTACCCCCAGCATATTTGCTGGT